GTTTTCTTGGGCGGGCAGATGCAGAAAACATGACATACACACATTATCAAGGTTATCAATGATGCCAGCCTGACACTGCACAAACTTTTGATGATAGGATCAGATGGTCCTAATGTTAACCAAAAAGTGTTACAACTTTTTAAGGAAGATGTACTGGGAATTCGCAAGAAAAGCCTTGCTGATATTGGAACATGTATCAATATAATTCATATTATTCATAACACATATCTGAAAGCATTAAGTGAACTAGGTGAAGATGCATATGAACTTATTGTGGCAGTTTACAGATTTTCTAATGGATATCCTGCTCGGTGGGAAAGTTATGAAGCTGTGCAAGAAAAGCTCAAGTTGCCCAAGCATAGCTTTATAAAACACTCAACAACATGGCGGACATTCCGTGATGCAACATCAAGGTTAACTGAGCAGTGAGAGGGCATAACTTACTACTACTTAAAGTATATTCCTTCAAGTAAACAAAGCATAATGTCAAGTGCTTTGCACAGAAGTACAGTATATCTTGTTTGTTGAAGATTCCTTCCATGAAAGCAGAAGTACTTCAAGGCATTTTAAGTGCAGAAATTTTCACAAAATATACATCATTTTTCCAAAGAGAAGAACCTCTAATACATCTGTATAGCAAACTATGGGACTTGCTTCTAAAGCTAGTCACTAGTTAGAGTTTTGAAAGTAGATATTTTGAAGCTTGTTTTTCAGTCTAAGTCTGCTATGCCTGATAGTAATGTATTAAATCCAAAGAAATTATTTGACAAGACAAATCTTTTGCCATTAGAGGAAATTATTTGCAGTGCTGAGTGAGGTTGTTAATGAGTTTAGTAAATTATCTTAATTGCATTTTTGCAGTTGCTTACAAAAACACTATGTTGTGGCTTTCACATATATGATAGAAAGAGCTCCAATCCAATGCAAACTGTTGAAATTATTGAAATGTCTTCAGCCAAGTAATATTAATGAAAAAAGCACTTGTAAGGACATTGTAAGTATTGCAAGAGCTCTTCCATGTGACATTGCTGAGGATACTTTGCAGGACAAGTGATGGCTACTTCAATTTGAGCGAGTTGAGAGTGATTGGACAGACTCAACAGATGAAAAAATTGATTATTATTGGAGTCAGTATTTTAAATTGCTTGACTCCCTTGGGAATGCAAAATATTCCAGTATAACCAAATTGGTGAAATCAGCATTGACCCTCTCTCATGGCAATGCTGATGTGGAACAGGGATTTTCAATTTCACGCCAGGCACTTCCTCCTGATAGAACATCAATGTCAGAAAGAATGCTTAATTCACTTTTGATTGTTAAGGAAGGACTAAACATGTATGACCAAAGCCCACATCTTGTACTTATTACAAAGGATCTACTGAAATTAGCTGCCTCAGCACACAGAAATTATCAAGAACAATTAGAAAATGAAAAGAAGTTAAAAGAAAAAGAGAAACAGAAAAAAGAGCAGAAGAGGAAGCACAGAAACATTTTGAAGAACATCAAAAGAAAGCTGTTTGTGACAAGGAAAAGATTATGGCACTACAACAGAGTTTAAAACAGAAAAAAAGTAGAAGAAACTGAAATGCATGAGACAAGCCAAGTTTTGTTAGAAGCAGCAAACAAAAAACTGGAGAAGGCCATTGATGAATGAAATATGAGCAGCAAATGTCATGCTTGTTAGTGTAAAAGTGTTCAAAAGCAAGAAGAAGCAAGAAAGAAGGAAGCTGAAAATATCCAGAAAAATCAATAAAAGAACATCATTTTTCAAGACTGATTATTTACAGAAGAAGCCAAAGACTTATTAAGTATTTATGGTTTACTGGAATGTATTTAATGTTATATATGTAATGTATGTATGAAATGTAATGTATGTATGTAATGCATTTAATGTTATTTCAATGTATTTAACCATAACAGTAAAAAAAACCAACTTTTACTGCTATTTTGCTGAGTTTTTCTTCTGTGTTTTCCCTTTGTTTTGTCACTATTGCACTCATTTTTTGCTCACTTTTTCTGTATTTTAACTCTCTTTTCTCACTTTTTCAGAGAGAAAATGGCTCTCTCAGGCCTGGCATCACTACATGGTCGGTCCCAAAGTGGGATGTGATGGTGCTGTACAACCATCTTGGACAGCTCTCTGTCATAGTTGCCCACTGCGACTGAATGTTGGTGCTGCTAGACAGCATCCTGATAGTTGCCCCTATATAGTGGGTGTGTGCCCCAGACATTGGGTCTTCCAACGGAATAGAGTATATGCCTGACTTTTCTAGGATCGAAATTGCATCCCTGTCCTTACATAAAAGCCTCCTCAGTCTAGGGCACGAGGTAATGGGTAAGAGTAAGGCATTTTGCCTAAATATATGACAAATCTGGGCTGTGAGATGGCCACAAAATGGCAGAGAAGGACAGACTACTGTCCAGTCCCTTGGGCAATGCCAAACTTCAAATTGTCATCACAACAGGCACTAATAAAGTCCAAGACAGTTATGATTTCCAATTGTTGAGGATTTTGATGACAGGCAGGCTGGTCATCTGGATGGTGAGCTGATTCAGAGAAAATCCCAATGTTGCCAAGAAAGAAAGTTGAACTTGTCACAGATACATCTTAAAGAGAAGGCAGTGGAATGTTCACAGGCAAAGTATGATCAGATGAGATAAATTAGGTCAAAGGAAAGGTGTTAAAAAAAAATAACTTGTGGAAACGAACAAAAAGAATAAATAAAAACTTGTATCCTTGAGACACAAGTTTTCGTCTATAACTTTAATTGTCTATCTCAATTGTCTCAGTTCTTTGTCCACATTTTCCAATTGGTCATGTACTTGTTTCCATGGATAATTCAAGATCAAATTGAGCTGCAGGAGAAGTTTACATCAATATTTAATTTGACATTGAATTCTGATCCCAACCAGATATGCTTACTCTCCAGATATGTCATTTCCTCTGCCATGTACAGTTAAATGAAAATATTTTGTTCTTTTATAGTTTTTTCTTTTTATTTAGTTCCAAAATTTCCAAAAAAAATTATTGAGCAAATTTTGGTACAAGATGGACCCCGTCCAGAGCCTCACAACATAAATTAAAATTAAAAATAAAGAAAAACTATGAGGATAACTTAGATATAAGAAAATGTAACCCTAAATTAGGGGAAAAAAGCCAAACAATGTATATTCAAATAAATTCATGATACTGTCTATAACCATTCTTTCATGAAGTGCAATGTTGACTAGATGTAACTTTATCTAAAACAAAGAATGTAGTAAAAATTATAAAAACAAAAAATATAGAATCTATTATTTCTTTTTTACAGCAAATGATATTTTAAGAAGTGTTGTTAATAAATTTAATTTAATTAAAGTGATTTAACATGCTTTGACATAAAATGATGCTTATTTAAAACTGACCTTTTATCATTAATGATTGGTATATTATGTACAGTACAGTACCTGTATTCTCAGAGTTTCAAATGTTAAGGTTTTTATTACATCTCTGCTTTGTAATAAATCATTTTAGTGTTCTATAATTAAACAGTAATTAATAATCATGGAGTGGACAGTTCCTATACTCTCTATGTTTTAAAACTTATCCACGGCACTGGAGTGACCCTAGCGGCTAGGGTGATAATTAACTGATGATGGTGTCATCATTCCCTTGGATGTTTTCCTTTATGCATTTGCTACAATACAAATACAACAGTACAAATGACCATTTTATTTTCTTAAAATTATTAATAAAGGTAAAATAATCTTGTGTATTGTAGCCTTATATAGTTATATTCTCCATGGTTATACTGTTTACAACAGACAAAAAGATTTGTGTGTCACACCATAATCCATAGTGATAGATTCACAAAGGATCATAATATATTTGATTTTAAAAATACAGCAGTATCATACATACTGAATATAATCAGGCATTACAGAAATGTAAGAATACAAAACCTACAATAGAATATATATGTTGATGACCAAAAGTTTAGGATCTAACTTAAAATAAAATTTAAAATAACCTATAATGATAAAAACAATCTGTTAAAGAAAATATAGCAATTAAAAATAAAAATTACTTTATTTAATTACTTCTGTGTATACAAATTACATAATTCCATACAGTATATTGAATACAGCATTAGTAATTTTTCATTCTATGAAGTGCTGGTCAAAAGTTTAGGATGAAATATAAACTATAACTTTATGCTTCTAACATAATAAAGTGCTATAAATTAAGACACTTGGCGGGTTTTCTCATCTTTATTTAGTTGATCAATTAAAGTTTTTTCTATCTCACCTTGTAATTTTTCCTTTTTATATGCACTGTTCTGGTGTAGTTCTACCTTCATCTTCTTTAAATTTGATGATTTCCGCCGTTTCAATATTCTAACTTCTTATTTTGATGATATGAAACCGTGGGTTTCATATCATCAAAATAAACTATAACTGTTAATATATATTTTTATTCATACTTACACAACAAGAGCATTTAAAATGAACATAACTATGATTTTAATACTGTATCTAGAAAATATGGGGGAAAACAATGACCCAAACACTGTAAAATGAACTGAGAACAGGTACAAATTCAAACATCTAACTTGTTGCGATATGTGATGCGTTGATTGGTTGGTGTGCAGGTGATAGTGTACATCCCAACCGCCAGGATTGCTCGCAGCAGTTGAACATGATTTTGTCCTCACTGTCCACTCCATGTATACTTACTCCATGTTAATAACATGGCAACTTATTAAAAAGTAAATTGCCATATTATTAATAGTAAGCACATTTTATTTTCAGAAAAAAATATTCTTAAAAATATATATAAGAGTAAATATTTTATTTCAGTTTTAGATAAATTTTATGATAGAATATCAGTTATAGATTTATTATAAAATCATATTGATTCATTGGTTCTTAAATGCTCATTTCAACATGAATTAATGTAATCATGATTTATTAATATGTTTCTTGCTTTGAAATCTAATTCATTCATTCATTCATTTAAGGTTATGGAAATTGCTGTTGTGTGAAACTTGTGGATCTCAAGGTTGTCACAGAAAATGTTCCAACTTAGAATTAATTAATCATTGGGAATGTCCAAATTGTAGAGAGATTACTCAAAACAGTAAGATTTGAGATTATATTAATTTTTTTAGTCTACTTAGAATTAAAGCATGTATATTTCATTTCGTTTAAATTTCATTAATAATGAAGAATATTTATATGCAATTTTCAATCTAGCAATAGAATAACCAAACATACTGCTATTTTAAATTATTATAATTATGTTAATTATTATCTGAGAACATTGTAATGTACATTAAAACATTAGAAAACTGTCCAAGTTTCACATTTGCCCATTACAGTTTCTCAATGTGTGCACCTTGTGTCATTAAGTGCACACATTGAGACATTGTCCACAAACTATTTTCACTTTTGGCATTTCCTAGAAGTAGTAGACAACAATATGTTTGAATGCAGATGCGAGATGAAACTCAGACAGTTATTCTATTGGTTGGTCTACATTACATACTTCTCAAGTAATAATAAACATAATTACAGTGATTTAAAATGATAGAATTCTTTTTGAAAGACCTTGTACATTACATTAGCATCAGAATTGATTTAAACCTAGTATTGTTTTTTGATTTTGAAGTAATTTTTAAGAAACTTTTAATATAATTTGAATTATTTTTTCCAGTGCTTCCAGAAGTTAAAAAGAAAAAGAAAAAACAATTCCATAAAAAGTGTAAAAATATTCAAGTCAGTGGTAATTCTAATGAATGTTTAGCTTCTTCTGTAATTTCTTCCTTTTCAACAGTATCATTATCATCATCGTCATCATCATCATCATCATCAACACATAATAATAATCATAGTGAAAATTCTAGTACTGATGATAATTTACTAAAGACAGATATTGTAGAAGATTGTATTAAAGTTAAAGAAAAAACTAAAAATAATAATTTATCTTTACCCAAAATAACTCTTTTCCTTAAAGACTTTTTACTTTCTCATCTGATTTCTCACAGTTTAATTAGTGTGGAGTGTTCTGATGATGATAATTTTGATTTTCTCAAAATATTCGAATCAGAAATAAAGCAATTACAAATAAATGTAGATGATTTTGAAAAACAAAGTACGTGTTGTGAGAAACAAAATGGATTTGAAAATACAGTTTCCCGTCATCAAATACTGCATAGTTTACTTACTGAAAGTAATAATGTACAAAATAAATCGAATACAACGTTTAATACATATACTTGTCATCCACAAAATATTTTGCAAGAAATGTGTGCATCAATCATAACTAATAGAGATGATTCAAGTAGTTCTGATAACCAAGTAAATTCTGGATGTACAGATACAAATAAAATTTCTAAAGAAGAAAATAGTAAAGGATATGAAAAAATACCAGGCTGTAATTCATATAATCCAATTTCGCTAAAAAGAGAATATTCTGATTTAGATAATGTATCAAGTGACTGTTTGGAAGATATAGAAATTATTGAGGAAATTAAAAAGCCTAAACTAATTGAAGTAATTGATATGTTAGATGATGATTCAGATACAAATAGAAACAAATTTGATGGAAATGAAATTATTGAAATCATTGACAACAATATTTATGACAGAAAAGAAGTTTTTAATATTGATGAGAATGTGATTGAAATAATAGATTTAAATGATTGAACATTATGTTTTTTAAGATAAAATAAATTATTTTTATTGTACAGTAAATAATATATTTAATGACTGTATAATTCAGAATGTATTCAATATAAAAGATCAAAGATACAATAGATGCAGTATTGTTTTTATAATTTTTTTAGAAATTTTTTACTAAAATGTATCAGTTAAAATAAATCAGATCACAGTAAAATTATCAATAGTTACCTTTTATATTTTAATGCAATTATAATAACTGAGATTACTATATATGTTCATTTATGACAAATATATTAATTCATTTTGGATAAATTGATAAATTTTATGAATATAAAAACAAATTTTATATCATTTTATTGAATATGTATGATTGTACTATGAAATTGTAAATATGATAAATTATCAACATGATCATTGTCACCATCTGTAAAGAAAAAGGAGCATATGTACAGTGTGCAGTCTTCAGCTTTCCATATGTGGGATCAAATTCCCCTCTTTCAACTTCTGAATCTGGTTAAGTTGATGAAAGACAGAATGTTTTCCTTGACTTTAAACAAAGGAAAGGAAACTATTAACAAACATTTTCTCATTTTTGGATGGCTTTGTGAAAAGTTGATATTTTTTTACAGTTGTTTTTGAATAAAGGTTCAGTTCTGCAAAACATTTTTCAGTGTATTTACAAATTTGATATTTGTATGTGCGTTGATTTTGATGATTATTTGTGTAAAAACTGGTTTCCACACTTTTTCAAACAGAAATAATGACCTTTTTGTAGTGTTGATAATGTTTTTTACCACACTGTATTATAGAATTGGTTACTTGTTTTAATAAAGCTATGTTTTTTTATGATGAAACAATAATTAAAGAAGTCATGACAATAATCACACTTATTACTGTTTTATTGGTAATTCAAATTACACATCCTAAAATATCTTCTTAGTATTGCTATGTAATTGCTGTAAACTGTTTTCCTTTTATACAAAAATGGCTCTGTTTTATTAGTAGTATAATGATATTTAAACAAACATATAGATCCATAAGTACTGTATTTATAAAAAAAAATTTTTTTTAATTAGATGTATAAAAGATATTTCAGAAAAAAATTTGTGACATGAAAGGAATGAAATATAGTAGAGCATTGATTAACCAAATATCAATCAACCGAAACATTGGTTAACTGAAAGTGTTCCAGTCAGCAAATTTAAATTTTTGCTAGTGCTGTGACGCTGCAATATTTGGCTGTCTTGGGCTACTCCAATATTACTTTTGTTGGTGTGCATGTTTTAGCTGACAGTACTGGCACAACCATGAGAGGGTACTTAAGGACGTGCCAGGATTTGAACGAATTTCAACATGGGATAGGTTAATATATTTTTTCATGCATAATCAGTTATCAGAACAACCCCAGTCTTGAATTGTTTCAGATAATCGAAGCTCAACTGTATTAATATAGAAAAAACTTGGTATGTTATGTTTCTGACATCACTGTATAGATATTGTCTATTGACCAGAAAAATATTTACCAACTGGAAACACTTTAAAGTGAAAATTCTGCATCTACACAACCGAACTTGCTCAAGTGCAACATTTGTATGCAAAAAATTAATTACATTGTACCTATAAAGATGAATCAAAAATTAAACTTTTCTATTCATATTATAATAAAATATTTTAAGATAAAGATTAAATCTTAATACATATGTATATATGTACTGTACTGTACATACTGTATACAGAACATTTTGTATATACTGTATACAAGTACAATACAATACTTGAACATCTATCCAGGGGCAACAGAGATCTTTCCAGCATTGCATTAATGTATCTATGTGATACAATAATATAATAGTTTAGCCAAATTAATTAGCAATTCTTGAAGAGTCAATATCTTCAACAATCTTCTGCTGTGATGTCATTACAAAGAGACATGGCCTATATGTACCATAGGTAGCTGTGGTCTAGATCCTAAGTTAAAGAACACAGTTCATAAATTCTAGAACAGACTCTTAAATTTTTTCTTTCCAAATTTATATCTAATAAAACATGTGGGAATATACATATGAAGTGTGCAATGTTGTAAATGCCAAAAAACAAAATTTTCAGAGGAGGCAAAAAAACACTTTTTCTAGTAAATAAATTAATTTCAATATTACAAGAAAATGGTAAAAACTCACTAGGTTACAAATTCTCTGGAATATCAAAATGATGTAAACATAAGCTGTAACATTTTAAGCACCAAAATTCACTTTGGCACTTTAAACATTATGGCTTCACATAAATTCAACTTTAAAATACAGCCACTTGGGGTGGATGTACATATGTGGCGTGGCAACAAAAAGCAATGTTGCAAATGCATCTTTGCCCAACCACACAAGTGACAACCTGCTTAGATTTTGGCACTTGCATACAGTTTTCAAGATGGCAAGCAATACCAACACTGCCATTATCCACATGTTTACAAATTTTGTTTTGTATGACTTGCTTTATTTAGCTAGAAGATTTTGGATTAGAGATATTTTCTTGGATGGAGAAAGAACTGATGTACAAAATATGCTTATTCCTTGATTAAGATCTCTCAATAAAGAATACTATTTCATTCCAGCTTAGGCGAGAGTAACTTATGCATTAACTTCTCTACCTGAATGGTTGGTGCCCTGGCCTTATCAATGATTGGTCTTAGCTGTTGTCCAGGTTTGTGGACTTTTGCAAAGGCGAATATATTATGCTCTGACACACCCAATAGACCTAAGCTAGCCAAACGCCTGGAATTAAGGAATATCACATTAGACTCCCCAGATACGCCAGAATATTTGCAAAAGTCCACAAACCTGGACAACAGCTAAGACCAATCATTGATAAGGCCAGGGCACCAACCATTCAGCTAAAGTTAATGCATAAGTTACTCTTGCCTAAGCTGGAAGGATATACTTATGCTCTGACACACCCAGAATACTATTTCAAATAAGATTTGTTTGTTTTTCCTTTAAATTAAATTATATATGATTATATATGTAGAATTTGTGTTAAATTTATTATCCTTTATTCTAATGTCAGTTATCACAGTTAACTGCATCAAACTTTCTGCCATTAAAGCTCCACTTGATTCTATTTTCTCATGTGACTACTATACAAACTATTATTGTCTGATGGAAATGTTTCTTGGCAATGGCTACTGCAAAAGAGAATTCAACCAACTTTCATGGCATGAGAAAAGCAGCAGAAAATCTGCTTCTGCATTGAAAAAAATGACATCATTCTGTCACTTTTCACTGCTGCATCACATGTGTGCATCCACCCTTACAGTGCCAATATCACCACAATATTTTTTTGCCACAAAAAATATTGTATTTAGAATTCAATTTTTCAGTAAAATATGGTTAGAGAAAAATGGCATTTACAACATAATGGCATTGCATGCTGCATATAATCTGTCAATCAATTTAATATGTTTAAGGATTAAATAATTTTAATTGAATGTTGATTCTCTCGTCTTGTGTCAATCTCTTATTTCCAAATTTTGAAGAAGTTCTTATACATTTAAAATATTGGCAGTTTCATCTTTACTATTGAATATTTTATTTATTTATCTAGGTGAACTTGTGAAAAAGAATTCTTTTATTTAAAACTCTTTCAAAATTTTGTAATTGTTTATTCTAATAAACATAGAAAATGAAGTATTATAATATGAAAAACTTGTACCAGTAGTTATCAGTAGTCAAAGCAGAATATTAAAATACTGTATATTAAAATCCTTTTATAATTTTAAACATTTTATTTTCAGTTATATTTGTAATTATCATTACAAAATATTCTTAAACTTGAATTTTTCTCTAAAAAATTTCATAATATTCTGTATATTATTTAATAAATAGCTGTTTCTCATGTAATTTTTTTCTTAATATTTTCAAAAATGTTTGTCGTTTGGAAGGTGGATAAAGTAGACAAATTATGAATTTTCAGTTTGGCATTAAATATATAAATTATAGTTCATAACTATTTTTCTTTCAAATAGAAAGTTGTTATTTATTGAAGGATAAGATAGTTTCATGCAAAATCATCTTGTTCATATACAAAAACTTTGATAAGTTAGTATATTTTCACTTACTAAACAGTTTATTTAGTATTTGCTGAGATGCAAAATATACAAATTGATTTTATATTACTTTTCTTATCATGTGTTTTATGGCAAACCAGAAATTCTCATTTCAAATTAAGTTCCAAGAGACTTGCAATTGCCTCACCAAATTATTGCATGCAAATGACAATATCTGGATTAATTTATATATATTGTATTTTGAATTTCAATTAAATATGATAATAATTAACAGATGAAAAAAATGTTTAAAATATGAGATCAGACTTCAGAATTTTTTTGTGTTAATAAATATATATAAATTGTCTTGAATTTATAATTATCATCATTAATTTGTCTTTATTTATTTATTACCAGTAGTTTATTATCCTATAACATTTATTATATATGAACAGTTTCTTGGAAAAGTTTAGTGTGTTCATGACTTTTATAAATAATGTATTTAACAATCTTTTTGTTTCCTTTAATTAGTCAATTAAATTATAACTGACATTTTGGACTATGTTCATTAGTCATCTTTACATTCAAATCAACTGATTTGATTTGAATGTTTGACTGTTACATTTTAGAATGCCTTTTGCATTGAATCTAAAGATAGCTTGTGTGCATAATTAAGACAATTACTGTTAACTAAGACTAACTTATCAAATATGCCCAAATTATGGAACTATAAACTGATTAATACTAAAGTATATCATGTGTAAGTAAAATGCATATTAATAAGAGGCCATCCATTAATTACAGTATTGTACAGTTTAAGGGAGAGAAATTTGAGTCATTGTCTAATTGTCTATGTAGACTTTTTTTTAGTGGTATTAATGACATAGTTGAAATTTGTTCTTATAAGCCTATTTACTAGTTATGTGAATAAACTATCAGTTAAAAAAATTCTGCAAATATTTTCTCTCAGGAGGAGTCCATATGTAATTAAAGAGGATTTGCCAAAACCCCCTTATTGTATACAATGGGAGGGGGTGAAAAGTTGCTAAAAAATGTAATGGATGGTTCTTTAAATTACAATGGGTGATCGGTTAACGAACACTTTCGTGAAAGATTTTTATGTTCAGACAATGAACACATGATTGGATAACGAACACCTCACAGAACAAACACAAGAAGAAGCAACGTAAAATAACGAATACCTATTGGTCTTCCTTGTCTTCAGACAACAATTCAAAACTTTTTGGAGCGCGGGATACGTCGACATCGACGCTCAACCCAGCGTCAGATATTGATCAGATAGTATTCCTCCAAACTTTGAAACGCTCTTTTTTCTGACAGAAACAATTCTTTTACAGTATTTGTGAGACTGTCTGGTGGGCACTTGTTAAGTTTTGCATCGGTTTTTATTTTCAAAAGATGAGAGTATAATAGCAAAGGTGGGCAGAAGATGTCTGATGTTGCTGGGCAGTATGGCTTGAACAGGTCTGCAGTAGACTGCAGTTCAATCTTATCTAAGAAAGATACAGTATAATCAAGAAGACTCAAGCAGCTTAAGGAGTAACAAAAATCACATCTGAGAAATAAAGAACATTGAAGAGCTCATAATGGAACCTGAAACTGATCTGATGACAGAATGGCAAGAACTCTTGAATGAAGAACACCAAGAAACTCAGCGAGATATATTTTCTTCTGAAAAAAGGATTAATGCCATTATCTGCTATTAAAGATCTTTTGAAGAAGTGGGAGGATGCCAGAATAATGGTCTTAGAATGGCATCCAAACAAGGTTGAGGATAATAAGCTTGGGGATCTCTACAATTACAATGCTATTAATTACTTCTGAAAAATCTTGGAGAGAAAAGCAATCAACATTGGACAGATTCTTTAACCCCCACATATGGGAAAAACATGACTAATAAAAATGAAAGACTGCATATATATGTATTTTTACTATTACATATACAATATAAATGTATTATAATAAAATATCCAAAAAATAAAAAAGTATATATTTTTTATTTTTTGGATATTTTATTATACTTTGTTCTTTATTATACTTTATACTTTGTTCATTAACTGATTATCAATTTACCATAGGTTCATATGGGAATTTGATTAATTCATTCCGGAGACTCCAAAAAATAAAAAAGTATATATTTTTTATTTTTTGGAGTCTCCAAAATGAATTAATCAAATTCCCATAAAAACCTATGGTAAATTGATAATCAGTTAATGAACAAAGTCTTGGAACGGATTATGTTCATTAGCCGATCATCCACTGTATAAAATGTACAGGGTGGGAAAGTCACTTAACACCCCTGCTACAGAATATAGAATGTACCAAAATTAGTTTGCTCATATCAGGAACACATTAGACCAGTGTTATCCAACTGTGAGTGATGCAACAACAAGTGGGCCCACCAACAGCGAAAGGGGAAATTTGGAGAGACACGTGGTGGATACGACCCGATCAGGGTGTGTACCCGGGATGAGAGATTTATCGGAGGGTGTGAGAGTTAGGGATGGAAGTGAAGGAGGAGAGAGGGGAAAACGACAAAGGAGCAGTTGAACTGTTCTTCGCTCGCGTTTGACATCGTTGACCATTAACTGTGTAACGAATAATAAAGTGTCTCATCCGTATTCTCATCTGTAGTCTCATCCTTTCGGGTTATTGCACATAGACACGACATAATTGGTGCCATGACCAGGATTTGGCCAGAACCAATGCCAATAGGTACGCAATTCACTTGTTACTACCATTATCCGATTTGTTGTCGTCCCGCTCATCGTTACGGGCTTTCACTGCCATACCATCTCGTACGTTCGTCCGCCATATTGCCCGTCTTCTCTGTCGTTCGCAGAACTGATTTCGTTACTCCACTGTCACCGTCAACCAAAATATATGACCAAGCCATTTCCAAATGGAATGAATCCAAATTCCACCAGGGAATTGAGCAAGCTCCGATGCCGCCGCAATACCATAAGAGCATCCATGAAGAAGACAATCGGCAATATCAACGCCATTTCTGACTCGACGCTGTCCGATGAAATCGAACTGTCCCGTGACATGTTGAACGAATGGCTTAGGGAGTTAAAGATATTAAATGAAGCTATTCACAACAAACTCGAGGACACGAAATACGAAACCAACACCGCTGCCTGTGAAGAGAGGGAAGAATCTACCCGACTTGCCGTCATTAGAGTCCGAGTCCTCGACCATAGGAACGCCGCATTCGACCTCACCACGGCAAGCCCCATCAGTCCTGACTCCCCGTCCTTTACCGGTCAACCACAGGCAACCATTCGCACCAGATTGCCCGCCTTGGTCCTTGAATCGTTTGAAGGAGAAATAGCTAAATGGCAATGCTTCTGGGAACAGTTCACAGCAGTCATTGACGAGGATCAAATATACCGGATATTGAGAAGCATGTCTTCCTTCGAGGATATCTTCAAGGTGAGGCTAAGCGTCTAGTTGATGGCATCGCCATAACCGCAGGGACATATGCAGAGACCAAGGCACGATTACTGAAGAAATACGGAGATAAGAACCGTATAATTCAGGCATACATCGACTACTTAGAGGGCTTACAACCTTTAATCTGTCCAACTGCCACCGAATTGAATGACCTCTTCGTTGAGTGCAATAATAGAGTGCACGCCCTGAAGGCCCTGGGAGAGCCCATTAGCCACTACAGACGCATACTAACGCCGAAAATCCTTCGGGCATTCCCGGATTCATTGTGTGAACGATGGCTCATTCATGTTCGTCATAAGGGTACCCATGAATCTGATCTGGAACTATTGCTGAAGTTTGTGCGAGACAAAATAGACGGTATCACTACTGCTGCTACTATCCATGGAACACAGGACCAATTTCTGACAAGAGAAGAACCCCAAGCTACCGCAGCCACTCTAGCAGTCCAGACAAGGAATAAATCCACGGGAAGAAACACCAAAGGGAGAGGATCCTCCTATCCCCCGTGTGCCTTCTGCAACAGTTTCCTCCACTTCAGTTCTGACTGCGCACTCTTAACAAATCTGAGAAAACGTGCAGAGAAACTGCGCGAGACCAACTGTTGTTTTCTGTGCTTAGGCCAAAACCATACCACTCACAATTGTCCCCGATGTGAACACAATCATCACGTTTCGATATGTGAGGCAGACCCAATGCAGACTCACATGACAGTCGCAGCTAACAGACCGACACCACCTATGACCCAACCCCCAACATCTGCTCTGGGGTTTGCTCTCTCAACTATTAGCACATCTCAAGCCACAGTGTGTAAAATCGATGTGCACTCAGACTTTACATATCTACAGACAGCTCGAGTTTGGGTTCATGGAGCAAAGGGCACTGCAAGACAAGTTAGATGTGTCTTAGACCCAGGAAGCCAAAGGAGTTTCGTTGGCACCCCCCTCATTGACTCGCTAGAACTGGTGGTGATTGGATATGAACCGTTGGCAATTCAAGCCTTTGAGTCAGATGCTAGTACCTACACATCACGTCGTCGAGTGCGACTCAGTCTGTCCAGCTATGTCAGCAGGTTTGCTACATCCTTAATAGCTGCAGAATCTTCAAATACATACCTCCCTCATCCGACAGTATCACAGTTCGCCTATCCCGTCAGAGAGATGCCACCACTAGAACTTGCAGATCTACAGCAGGAGTCATGTGATTTACCCATTGAAATACTAATTGGATCCGACTTTTATTGGCGATTTGTCAAAACAAAAAGCCCTATTCGCATAAATGGCACTCTGACACTAGTCCCATCGCACTTTGGCTGGATTTTGAACGGTAATAGGACTAATGTCTCGATTCACCCAGTCCAGGTTAATAGTATTACAACCCCTTCGGACCCAATACTACGATCAATGTGGGATCTGGATACCCTCGGCATCCGAGAGTTGGAGGAGAAGTCGTTGATTGTCCATGATGCACATCTGCTCGACGGCTTCTGTCAATCTTTCCGGATCAAGAGAGGAAGGGCAGAGATCCATCTGCCCTGGAAGCAGAACATCCGCCTCACAGATACAAACCGCACAACTGCTCTGCGCCGTTTTGAGACACTACGTCGCAGATTCAGCAAAGATATAGAGTTCAGCAATATGTACACCTGCCACATGCTCAACTACTTCTCCAACGGTTATGTGGAACGGTTGATGAACAAGCAACATTACAACAGACCTACTACTTGCCACATCACACAGCAATCCGAAGTAAACACAACATTTCCAAATGGCGTATCGTATTTGATGCTTCTTCTCATGTGAAATGGCACCCTGTCCTCAATGATGCCTTGGAAGTGGGTCCCAACCTGATGCCAGACATCATAGCGACACTACTTCACTTTCATTTTCACAAAAGGGCTTTAGTAGGAGACGGCAGTCAAGCCTTCCTCCAGCTAACCTTGCACCCCGACGACCGAGATGTCACCCGCTTCTTCTGGTTTAAGGTGGTCACTGACGAAAAGAGGCATCTACACACTACAAAGGAATTGGCTGTCTACCGGTTCCAACACCTGCCTTTCGGACTAGCTTCCAGTCGGCATGTATCATACTGCTATGATACATGCCGCAAGACTGCATGTAAATATCAAAGCAACAAAATCGTGCGCAATTTCGGGGAATTCCAATAATACCATGTAATACTGAAACAGCATTAAGCAGGGTCTTACTGTATCAAATTTTAATAACAAATTGACAGTAAAAAACGAAATTATAATAACACAAAGTAAAAATAAATTCAATGTGATTTTTGACATTACCTTCCTTTTATAGTATTGTCAATAACTGCACTTATAATACCAGTCTTAATTCTAAGAATGTTAGTTAAATGGGAATCACTCAACTTATTTCTTTCAGCAGTTTTGATGTTTTTAATGCACAAAAAGAATTGTTCATAACAGTATGTACAGTACTATCCCATAAGCATAACAGTTCTCTAGATAAAACAGTTTTTTAACACTAATTACATCATTATGACATCAAAGTGTATCCAGTGATGAGAATAAGTTTTACAACATACTTTACCAACTTTACCAAAATAAATGAAAATATGCCTTAAAAAATTTAGGATGCAGTGGGCCGCAGGTTGGACATCCTTGCATTAGACCAAGAGGAAACAGATTGATGTGTGTTATGTGCATGGCTGCCATCTTGAATGCAACTCCAAAACTGTAAATGGGAAGGGAGTCATACAACACATCATTTAGGGTCAGAATTTCACAAGGAATTGATTGCTGTAAAAATTTATTGACTTACCTTGAACAGTTAGAGTTATGCATGTTACGTAATGTGCTGAATGTACTGTACATTCTTTGGTACATTCTACATTCTGTAGCAGGGGTTAACTTAAGTGACTTTCTTTCCCACCCTTTACAACACACACATGTAGTACATGATTAAAATTAATACCTAGTAAAGGAATAAATGCCTTTTTTATTAAAAAAAAACTTAAAAGCAAATACTGAAATATTGGTTATAAAATGTAGCATGATTTAATAATATATGAAGTTCAGTTGACATGTTACCAATATTTGCAGCCTAGCAACTAATTGTTTGGTAGTTGATTCTGAATTGAAGATTATTAAACAGGATGATAACAAAAAAATTAAATTAGATAATACAGGCTTTTAGAAAAATGTAAGGTTTATCAGATATTTCAATGCAATTTTAAAGTTTACTTCTCCTAAAATTTTAGTGTTTCTGTTTACTTGTACCAAATTAAATGTAAAAGTTGTGCATTCTGTGTAATTTTTACAAATTTCTGAAAATAAAATCCAGAGAAGAAAATATCTTAAAATAACTGCCTCATTCCACTTGAATGAAAAGACACACTATCCAATAATGTATTTAATAGCTGTAGATATTTATATAGAAAAATAAAAGTACTCAATTATAAGTCTGTAAATGCTTTTATTATATCTTTTATTATATATTTCATATACTATATTATATTATAATAATTCTTATTAGTTGTAAATTAAATTATGTAATAGTTAAAATAATTACAAAATGATGACACTATTACTTTTAGTGTTAAATTTATCAATTAGCATAAAAATATCCTGATAAAATTTGGCTTTTTTTTTTTTATTTGTTTGACCCTTTATATATATATGTATATATAAATGTTTAAAAAACAGTTTTATTTAAAAAATTAATTAAATTTTTTTCTTCTTATTTTTTGTATATTACATTTAATTTTGAAAGTTAATAGAAAGAGTACTTTATGTAATAAGGAGTCAAATAAATATAAAATTTATAAATTTTTATATCTTCAAATTAGTTTTCCATTAAAATTTTTCTTCTTAATTCATTTACTATTTATTTGCCACTATAAAAAAAAAATATTTTTTGATAAATTTCCAATTCTTTCCTAAAAATTCATGTTTTTATGTAATATTGCACAGTGAGAGCATATTTTTCTACATTGTTTCTAGTTTACAACAAAAAAATCAATCAGCATATGAATAATTTTCACAAATAAATAGGTGATTTTAGTATTGCAAATTCTGATACGAGATCACTTCTTAAAATATATCAGTTAGTGCAATGACTAGCACATTTTAATCTTGAGAAAATAAAATGATTCTTGATATACTTTGATTCAAAAATAATGTATTTATCAGTAATAACTTATAGATATTTATATGATCACAAAAATGATTTGTTATCTGTAGATAGGATATGTAATTATAATAGAAAACGGAGATATTATATTTGAGAACATATATAATATATACATAAATTCAACAGNTTTTAAATAACAGCATTGCAAACTAAGTATTATAATAGACAGTGAGCTATTAGGATATAATATAGAAAAATTACACTGAAAGTTATAATGATAATATGAAACTTAAAAGTATATACAGGGTGTTCGGAAATTCCTGTTACAAACTTCTAGGACTTGTAGAGGGAAGCGAATAGATAATATTTTGATTAGGAACCCATCCAGATACGTACAATTTCTGTTCTATGACTGTTTCAATTCAGATGTTTAACTCTTCCACTTCTGCTTGAAGAATTTGAATTAGCCATGATGCAGTGCAATTATTAGGTAACTATTCGAAAGGAAACATAATGAAACATCCATTTATCACTTAAGCACATTTGTTTTTATTAAAACTTAAACTTTACATGTTTACATTATTCCAAAACAAAAAAGAACCCAGCGTACTGTATATACAGAACAGTACTGATATATTACAACAGCAGCTCGATGCGGCGACCATCAACATTCTTACAGATATTGTACCTACGAAGCATGTTCTGGTACACACTCTCCATCCCACCTGGTGTCTCTTCAATTTCTAGTGCAGCAGCCATAACTCATGCCAACAGATCTTCCTCTGTTTCTACAGCAGTCTTGTAAATTAAACTTTCCATACGACCCCACAAGAAGTAGTCCGTAGGCGTTAAATCCAGTAATCATGGCAGCCACACAGTTGGACTACCTCAGCCTATCCATCTTTCACCACATTGTCTGTTGAGATGTCTTCGAACCACACGTGAAAAGTGAGGTGGTGCACCATCATGCTGAAACCTCATTTCTTGATGGACATTCAGTGGCACAGCTTCCAAGAATGGGTCAAATACGTTTTATAGGAAGATCAAGTATGCAGGACCAGTTAGCTTGAGTGTAAAGAGGTATGGCCCAATCACATGACTGTCCAGAATACCTCCCACACGTTAATACCAAACTGGTGCTGAAATCCATGAACATATGTGGCATGAGGGTTTTCGTCTGACCAGACATGGCTGTTTCACAAATTAAGAACACAGCCCCTAGTGAACTTACATTCATCTGTGAACAGAACTTGATGTGAAAAGAGGGGTGTGTCAATGCAGTGGTGCAGGAACCACGTGCAGTATGCAATGCGTTGTGGAAAATAGGCTGGACCCATAGCCTGTACCCTTTGTAAGTGGTACGGACGTAATTGTTGCTCATGCAGAATGCCCCAGACGATACTGTGACTAACACCCATTGTACACACAATTGTTCAAGTACTCATTGATGGGTTCTCTTCAACATGATGCAGTATATCTTCAAATTCAGGAGTGCGGCTTTGCCATGGAGCACTACAGTCCTGCCTCCTCACATTGAAGGTATCTGTTTCTCGGAGCTGCTGCGTAACTTGGGCAAAAAGTTTGTGTGATGGCATGCTACGTTGCAGAAAATGTTCATGATACAACCGACTAGCAGCTCTTTCGTTACCTCAAGCTTAGCCATACGCTGACCAATTAGCCATCACCAACCTTCTTGGCCCTCGAAATGTTTGGTGAAGAAAATATGGCCCGCAAGCTATGATAAGTTGGACAGCGCTGGTCTATAGTGAAGTACAAATTATTTTTTTATTTGATACTCACAAGGATTCAAAATAGTAAATATGCCTTTCCATGAATATTCTTTATTCTTTACTCTCAGAATCCCAATATAGGAAAACAAAAGAGAAATGAAATAATGAATATTGGTTATTATTGCATGTGCTCTGTGAACAGCAATTGTACTTACTTGTTAGTTATACTTCTTTAGTGGGTTAAATTTATATAAGGCCATAAAAAATTTAACAATTTAGTAAAATTTTATTTTTAGCAATATTTTAATACAGTAGAACCTCGAAAACTCGACCTAATGTNATAATAAAAATTAAACACTAAATATAAAAAAAAATTTAATGATAAATGTAAAGTTAAAAAACATATCTAAATGTTTATGATGTAAATTTGTATAACAACAACCTTTAGAATATTTCAAAATGCAATAAATTTTCTCAGTGATCAATACATTTATACTAATAACATTTCAATTATTATAATAGATTGTGTTATGCATATTTATTAATACAGGGTAACACACAAATGGTCTTTTATTAATTAATGATGTTAACCTGAAAATGATATAAATTTCATCAAAATGCATGCTATAAACAGTGTTATGGGTTGTCTGTAGCTGTCTTGATTGTGTTCAGCCATTTAAGTAAAAAATTCTGTGGTGTAATTTATTAAAATAAACAAAATTTAAATTATTTGATTGGAAGTCTTTTGTTTATTAGTGTCATGGCATACATGCCTTAACCACATTGTACACCATTTACAATTTCTTAATGACTATTTAAATCCTATGATCCATATAACATTTTCTTATAATCCCCCTATTGCTATAACAACAACATAAGTATTGCTGCCCCAAAAATAATTTTTCACAATTACTATATCTGCAATCTAATAGTTGTACCAATAGACAGAAAATGGCATGTATATAAATTCATCTTGTTTGAATTATGCTACTAAACTTTTCATTGCTCGTTTTGTTTTTGTCTTTGCATTCTGAAATAAAATGATTTATTTTCAATTATAAATTAAAAAAACATTTAAATTATTATTTGAGGCAGCATATACTTTTTTTGAACACAATAACAGTTGCAATATTAATATATATTGTGGGATTGGAATGCCAAACAAACACATACACAAGTAATAAAAATAAGGTAGCATGGCATGGGCACAATTGGATTATTGATGTGCCACATTGATGATAAATTTTGATCAAAATAAGTTTTTAACTGTTGAAATTATAATAATGTTTTTGACTCAATAATTAGGATAATAATAATAACTGTGCAATCAAATTAATTGAAAAATATTTTAAGTTATGCCATGCCACCCCAATATATCAGTAACTGGAATAGCAAGTACTATTCCACATTCATATTATGCAACATATCTGTGTACACAATTTTTACTAAAACATATGTTAAACTATCAAATCATCTGAATAAAATGTTATACTATAGTTTTAATATAGTGTGCATTTGCATTTTTAGTGATTAAAATTAAATACTTTTCTTTAAATACTTGATTTTTATATTTAAGTGCAGTCAAAAATAAATTTCTGTTGAATGGATATAAATAATATATACAATATACAAAACGTTTATCCAAAGAAATAAAAATATGATTTTATCACATGATATACATATCATGAATTAATGTGATTTGAAATAAATTTATATATATATTTTGTATATGTAAATAATATCTACAACAATCAAAAAAGCAACAATAAATTGCACCATTTAGATGAAAGTTTCAAAGCAATGTGCCAAGATATGAATGATGATCTTGGGAAGATTGATCGATTGCAATGTTCATTTTAATTTGCAACAAATTCGTTCTGAATTGTTGATGAATATAACTATTATTACAGATTTTAGAACACCTTTTTTTTACTGGCAACATCCAGAAGGCTTCCAATCTTGCTGCCATTTCCTGGAGAAAACAGAAATTTAACAATCAATATTGACAGGCACATAGAATATTTTTATCATTTTGATACAAATCCCAACACTCAGTTGTTTTGAAGATTTCTTTAACCTATTTGAGTTGAATTGATAATTCAGTCACTGTCGTCATCCTCATGTTCGTTGGAAGGTGTTTCTGCAAGAGTTGGAGGAATGTTGGCGGTTGTTGTTGTTGTTGCTGCTGCCGTTACGTACTCACTCTCTGCCTTACTTTCCGTAAACTCTATTTCAACTTTATATTCATGTTTTGAAACATAACGAACATATTTCTCTGGTGGATTTGAATTAGTGACAGAGACAGATCTCACTGTAGTGTGAGATACAGTTGTTGCTGGCATTGTAAATTCTACATCCACGTGCTGACTCAATGATTCAGGAATCTGATCAAATGAAGTCATATCTAATCGCAATAGGAATAAATGTGTTGTATAGGCACCTGTAAAGAGAAAGATGATAGAATTAAATAAACTTTATAATAATACTTTCATATTTCAAAATTAATTATTAATCAATGCCCTGATTATCTTGGAATTTTTTTTCAATCATCAAAATAGGATCCACTAGTGGCCAAATGGATACAATTACTGAACAGTAGTGGTTGCAGGTTTGTACAGTACCTCACCAATGGGCTGGCCAGATGGAGTTTTTCTGAGTTTTTTTCCATGTGTCTAGAGATCAATTTCCCAAAGAAAGTCTTTCCAGAAGGCACTGTCTTGGCCATGTTGCATCACCTTATTCCATTCATCCAATCATCAAAATAAATTAGCTAAATTATTTTTATGCCTATACTGGATACTAATGACATTATAAATTAACAGAAAAATGTCAATAATTACCTACTATACATAAGCAGTCAAAAAGTTCTCAGAATTGCCATCCTGATGGTAAAGGTACAACTGATTTGTTTTGATCCATGATTGACCATTGTAGAATTGGAACAAGAAGTTGATATTTCTCACAGATCCATTCATGAATTCTGTCTGACAACTTGAAGTTGAGACAAGTCAATGTGAGATGTATTCTAAAGCAGCTAATCATGGATCAGATGGAATGTCACATGCTGATTGCTGGAGATCTGTTTGAAAAAAGTATGTAGGACCCAACATTTCTCATGAAGATTAATCACCAGTGATTAGTCATCAGAGTGGCAAAGTGTTATCAGTTGGCCAAAGAATTCATGCTTCATCAAGTTCCAAGGAAAAAGTGATGCTCATCGCATTTTTTGACATGGAAAGTGTGATGCACCATGAGTTTGTACTGTCTGGCAGAGTGTTACAGATCATTTCTATGTGCAAGTTTGACATAGATTTTGAGATGCAGTTTGGTAGAAGAGGAAGTGGTGGGAGGGTAGTTTCTGCATCATGATAACATATCATTGCTTGTTGTGCAATAATTCTTTGCTGACAAAAGACTTCTGTCATCATCCAACCATTATACTAACCAGATCTTGCTCTGAGTGAGTTTTGGGTGTTTCCTATGCTGAAAATGGGTCTCAAGAAGTGTTTTGCAACCATGGATGATCAACGAATTGAATGTGATGGCAAAACTCCCGAATATTCAAAAAGAAACCTTTCAACGGTGCTTCCAACAATGATAGGATTGGTGGGACAAGTATGTGTTTGTGCTGAAGGGTCCTACTTTAAAGGTGATTGATTATATTGATATACAACAATTCCAGGAACTTTCTGACTGTACATGTATGTATTTATACAGGACAATCAAATGAAAAATTTATTTGTAAGAAGTAGACTTGGTGACATAACATTTGACTGACTCATTACATTTTTGATTTATTTATTTATTTATTTAGAATTTCAAGTATTTCTCAAATTAGAAGGAAACAAGTTCTCGAAATGTTTATAACATGAAAATAACTGGCTGTACTAAATAAGCTAGTTATAATAGTAATATTAATAGCTCCATAAAACATTGGAAAATTTTTGTGATTTCTGAAATGTCAAAAAGTACTCTTGTTGTATGAAATAACTATTTAATGGCATTGGTTACTGATAATTATAAAGATTTATTTTTAACTTTTAATTGCTGATATGACTGAGATAGACATACCAACAAGTAAAAATCATAAAGAGAAATTATTCTATTGGAAAATTTATAAAAAGTTCTTGATGATATATATGTGATTTGTCTCTTAGCTATCTCTTACTTATTTACAGTTCTTTTACATAGATAATATGATTTATGGATAGGACCATTGAGAGGGAAATTGGAAACTTTTTTGGGCCTGGAGAAAACTTAGTGACCTGAAGTGGTTCCTACTCTTATAAATTAATGTTATTTTTACTAGCAAAAAATAAAATATTTAAGACTACTTTTCATTAATAAAGAACATTCTACATATTTCATTTGTTAGCACAGACTGCTTTGCCAGTTTTTTATCTCTGGACACCATACAAAATCTTGATGGCCCTGTTGATGAATGTGAGAAACATATATTATTTTATAGTTTTGACATATGTGAATTCTTCCATTACATTTTTGGACACAAACATCTATTTTGAAAACATACAGCTAAAATTTTTATTTCCCTAACTCATCCAGTTTTCTATTTTGGTATTCCTTTCTTCAAAGCAACAGGAACTACATAGGCTACTTGAATTTCTGAATTACATATGCACTTAAATCATTTGTGAAGATTTTAGTCTACTGTATCTTTTAAATCTTTAGTTATCTCAAAGTTGTTACAAAAATCTGTTTTCATTCTAACAGTTCAAATTAAGTGGAACAATTAAAATAAAAGTAATAGATGTTCTTTTATAGATCTTAATAATTCCATTTTACTTTAAATAAAAGTAATAGAGCTTGGATTCAATCTATCTGTGAAACATTCTCTATGAAATGTGTTTTCATTTAATATTGAATAACAGAATCTAGTATCAATTTCAATAATAACTACGTTTTCATTGAATGAAAATGTAATTATTATTGAAAAAGATTTATTGAGTTATCTCACTTCATTGAATGAATTTTTTAACATCAGTACTAAATACAGTTCTGAATTCAAAGCAATGAATTTCATTCTCTAACAATGCATGGTACAGTACAAATGATTGATGACATATTGATTGGTAGTTATTTTATAAGATTATATGACAGGACAAAATTACCTCATATTTCTGAAAAAGTGAATTAACAGAACAAATAGGGGATGATCTTTTGGTTACATGGATCGCTATGTACAGTACTTTCAGCATAATAGAACTTCTTCCTCATTTTATCCATCTTGTGATGCAACATTTCAATGACACTTTTTATAATTATTGATCATTCTTAGTAAAACCAGTAATTAGTTCTCAAGGTCTCTAGACCTAACCCTGTTAGATTTTTGTTTATGGGGTTAGATAAAGATTAAAGTATATAGAAGGAAAATAGACTTCTTCAAGAATATGTGATGGATTTCTTCCTGTGCAACTTATACTTTCCATCTGCCTAACCGCTTAAAGTGAGCAGATCCATATCTTATAATGCAAAGACTATTTTCTCTGTCCATTTTGCCTGCCCCATCCATCTGTCCACCCAAGTAAGTGCTTACTCTTATATTTAATATCTAATACACCTTATATTAATGCCATTTTTTTTTTTTAAATTAACATTACTGAATGCTATGATTTTGCTTCAATGATTTCTATCATAAATATTCTAATATCCATTGAGATAAAAACAACTTTATTCTAAATTTAGCATAAAATTTAGAGTAAAGGCAGATGGTGCCATAAGTAACCAAATATGGTTATATCCAAATTAACAGGTTCTTGAGGCGAGGATCAGATGAAGGTCCAGATAGCATAACTAGCAATGTCACCATGCAGTAAGCAGATGTTGTGGGTTAAAGTCCCACTTTGGGCCGCTTATTTTCTTCCAGAACCTTCTAAATTAATTATTAAAATATTAATTTAATTATAAGTATTAAATTTAGCAATGGATGGCACCTAATGCCTGTCTATAGTGCCAAATTAATAATAATAATAGTAGTAATATAGCCCAATGTAATCCAGCAATCATTTGGCTTTAATATATAACTATTGGGTTTAAGATGTTTATGTTTTCACACAAAAATCAAAATTCATATACTTGAAAGATTTTAGGAATCGAAAAGTTCAGAATCAGATGAAACATTTTTTAAAACTTTTATTGTCTTGGTTTCAGATCTCCAATTGTAGTCTGCTCTGTTTAGAAAAGATTATATTTGAATGCGCAATTATTTATTGTGACATCATCATAATGCTCTTTACCTCAATCAGTAGTGGCTTACCAATGTACTGTACATCATACTTTTCCTTTAACAAAAGGGTCATGCCAGTCATTAACACCTTTCAGGGGAAAATTTTTGAATTGAAATAACATGACCTCTGGTTTGCAATGGAAGTTCATATATAGTTAATCAGGTCTCCTGCCCCTACAGTTTCCATATATGGTCTCATCTTCTATCTATCAACTCTGCTCTTGAGATTAAGGAAAGACAGATGACAGTGGGAATTTATGGGTCTACAATTTTTTCAAATTGCAACCCAGTAAATTTTGTGCCAACTGGATTTTTAACCCTTTAAATTTTTCAAGAGTTTGCTTTTTGGCTTTATGCTCTATTTTTATCAATATATGTAAAAATGAAAGAGGTATATTGTATATTGTTCTATATCAGTTGATTTCTGCATTCTTTCTTTTCCTCTCTGCAATTGTAGATACAATAGAGATAAAGAATACATAATAATTACTTTATAGAATAGTTAAATAGTTAATAGTACTGTACATCCTATGTTATTTAAAATTATTTTTATATGTTGACAAAATATGTATGGGTAAGATTTTAATTTAATAATATAATTTTTAGCAAAAACTATTTTGCTTTTATTAATTATTATATAGCAATTTATTAACCTTTTTGATATCTGAATGATATTAGAATAAATTTAGTGTAATTTTCTCTGAAAGAATTAATGAAAGTAGGAGTCATGTTTGATAAGGTTTCACCCAACAGATTGGTACAAATTACTTCCATTAATATATAGTAGGTATAATTATTAATATTAATGAAGATAAAACATACCTTGGCCCTCTTTTGGAAGTCGAGGGATTCTCCATACTACGGCTTTTAATGCATGTTCATATTTAGCATTTCCTGTTGATACTTCTATCAGACTAGGATCTAAACTTTGTGCAGTACCCATTATCCTCTCAAGACCCTAATTTTTATTTTGAAAGAATGCACATTAAGTTTTATTAATTATAAAATTGATAGTATCAATAATTTAATTATAAAAACAAAAGAATATTTGATATTGAAGTTTGTTTATGAGATATGTTAGATAAAAAAAATGAGAATATGTTATTTCCATTGCACAACTTTCTATTTTCAATTGAAACCTTAGGCTTGACTTTTTATTTTTAATTTCTAAATTGATTCTTAAGATAATAATTTTATTTCTAAACTTTTTCAAATAACAAGACCACATTTTAGCCTTTTGATATTTATATAAAAGATTTTCTTACAAACAAGTCTCAAAAAATTTTTTCAAAAAATATATTGCAAGAAAATTCTGAATACATTAAAATACATATTTTGCATATGCATCTATAAAATAAACTTTAATTAATTTGAATGCCTGCTAGTATTCTTTACAATTCAAACTATAATATAACAATGATACCTTTTAATCATATGATTTCTGAAGTCAGCTTGAAAAAGTTTTTACAGTTTTATTCATTACTTTTCATGATAATTTTTAAATAAGTTCTATGAAAATTGTTAAAGATTATGTAAACTTATAATCAGATTTTTGCATGTTAAAATAATGTACATTAATTAAATTAATACTTACAGCACTTTAATTACTGTTCTTGATTGTTGTTAAACTTTATTTTTTATTAATAAAACAAGAATTTATAACTTAAAATGAAATCAAAATAACTCTCCATTCAGATGCCATAAAAATGAGCATTATGCAGAATATTTTAAAGTATTCACAATATTCAAAACTAAAAAGTATATTTAACAATTAAACAGAAATACAAGTAAAAATATAAAATTTAACATTAATTTACTTTTCATAATTTTAATCTTACATATTCTGTTAAAGTATTAAGTCATCTTTATAATAATTATTTACTGAAAATATAAAATATTTAATAATTAATATAATAACCTAGAAAAATATTNTAACCATTGAGTATCAGCCATTGATCACTTAGTTGTGGCAAGTTAATTCCAGCTTCTTTCTCATCTGTTAAACACATCACTGCCATTATAAACTGTTATGGAAGTCCCCCTAATACACAAACCACCCTACAAAATTTCAGAAATTTTGAACAAAAGACACAGGAGTTATTAAACTTCAAAGTAACTTAACAAAATCACAAACACAGAAACCCCCAAATTTTTTGCATTTGATATTTCAAGGTGTCCTAAATCCAAAAATTTAAAAATATTAGAGGGTCATTTTTTGTCTGATTGCTTTCTTTCCCTCTCTTATAACAGTTGGAAAAGTAAAATTATTCAAAGATGATAAAACCAAATCTGTTTTCAACTATAAATTTCTCTTTTCTACATGTTAAATGGATCATGGAACACTGTCATTGTGTTTTTTATTCCTCTTATTAAAATATTTTAATAGTTTCTAATGCTAGAATTCAATATTACGAAATCAGATTTTAGAATGCAAACTATTAAGAAGTAAATCATATAATCTTAAAATATATACAGTATTTAATTAATTTATCTTACTTTACATTTGAATTATCCATAGACTAAAGCTCTACTAACAAATGCTTTGTATATTATACATATTATTCATATTACTGTTTTTAGGCATATCACTGAAGCATGCAAAACAAAATCCCTTATTATATTTTTAATCATTTCTCAAATAGATTTTCAATAGTCTATAGCAGCGCTGTCCAACTGGCGGCCTGCGGGCCGTATACGGCCCGCCAAATAATTTTTACGGCCTGCGAGTACATTTTACTATGAATAAATTTATGTTACTAAATTATTANCTTCCAGAACCTTCTAAATTAATTATTAAAATATTAATTTAATTATAAGTATTAAATTTAGCAATGGATGGCACCTAATGCCTGTCTATAGTGCCAAATTAATAATAATAATAGTAGTAATATAGCCCAATGTAATCCAGCAATCATTTGGCTTTAATATATAACTATTGGGTTTAAGATGTTTATGTTTTCACACAAAAATCAAAATTCATATACTTGAAAGATTTTAGGAATCGAAAAGTTCAGAATCAGATGAAACATTTTTTAAAACTTTTATTGTCTTGGTTTCAGATCTCCAATTGTAGTCTGCTCTGTTTAGAAAAGATTATATTTGAATGCGCAATTATTTATTGTGACATCATCATAATGCTCTTTACCTCAATCAGTAGTGGCTTACCAATGTACTGTACATCATACTTTTCCTTTAACAAAAGGGTCATGCCAGTCATTAACACCTTTCAGGGGAAAATTTTTGAATTGAAATAACATGACCTCTGGTTTGCAATGGAAGTTCATATATAGTTAATCAGGTCTCCTGCCCCTACAGTTTCCATATATGGTCTCATCTTCTATCTATCAACTCTGCTCTTGAGATTAAGGAAAGACAGATGACAGTGGGAATTTATGGGTCTACAATTTTTTCAAATTGCAACCCAGTAAATTTTGTGCCAACTGGATTTTTAACCCTTTAAATTTTTCAAGAGTTTGCTTTTTGGCTTTATGCTCTATTTTTATCAATATATGTAAAAATGAAAGAGATATATTGTATATTGTTCTATATCAGTTGATTTCTGCATTCTTTCTTTTCCTCTCTGCAATTGTAGATACAATAGAGATAAAGAATACATAATAATTACTTTATAGAATAGTTAAATAGTTAATAGTACTGTACATCCTATGTTATTTAAAATTATTTTTATATGTTGACAAAATATGTATGGGTAAGATTTTAATTTAATAATATAATTTTTAGCAAAAACTATTTTGCTTTTATTAATTATTATATAGCAATTTATTAACCTTTTTGATATCTGAATGATATTAGAATAAATTTAGTGTAATTTTCTCTGAAAGAATTAATGAAAGTAGGAGTCATGTTTGATAAGGTTTCACCCAACAGATTGGTACAAATTACTTCCATTAATATATAGTAGGTATAATTATTAATATTAATGAAGATAAAACATACCTTGGCCCTCTTTTGGAAGTCGAGGGATTCTCCATACTACGGCTTTTAATGCATGTTCATATTTAGCATTTCCTGTTGATACTTCTATCAGACTAGGATCTAAACTTTGTGCAGTACCCATTATCCTCTCAAGACCCTAATTTTTATTTTGAAAGAATGCACATTAAGTTTTATTAATTATAAAATTGATAGTATCAATAATTTAATTATAAAAACAAAAGAATATTTGATATTGAAGTTTGTTTATGAGATATGTTAGATAAAAAAAATGAGAATATGTTATTTCCATTGCACAACTTTCTATTTTCAATTGAAACCTTAGGCTTGACTTTTTATTTTTAATTTCTAAATTGATTCTTAAGATAATAATTTTATTTCTAAACTTTTTCAAATAACAAGACCACATTTTAGCCTTTTGATATTTATATAAAAGATTTTCTTACAAACAAGTCTCAAAAAATTTTTTCAAAAAATATATTGCAAGAAAATTCTGAATACATTAAAATACATATTTTGCATATGCATCTATAAAATAAACTTTAATTAATTTGAATGCCTGCTAGTATTCTTTACAATTCAAACTATAATATAACAATGATACCTTTTAATCATATGATTTCTGAAGTCAGCTTGAAAAAGTTTTTACAGTTTTATTCATTACTTTTCATGATAATTTTTAAATAAGTTCTATGAAAATTGTTAAAGATTATTTAAACTTATAATCAGATTTTTGCATGTTAAAATAATGTACATTAATTAAATTAATACTTACAGCACTTTAATTACTGTTCTTGATTGTTGTTAAACTTTATTTTTTATTAATAAAACAAGAATTTATAACTTAAAATGAAATCAAAATAACTCTCCATTCAGATGGCATAAAAATGAGCATTATGCAGAATATTTTAAAGTATTCACAATATTCAAAACTAAAAAGTATATTTAACAATTAAACAGAAATACAAGTAAAAATATAAAATTTAACATTAATTTACTTTTCATAATTTTAATCTTACATATTCTGTTAAAGTATTAAGTCATCTTTATAATAATTATTTACTGAAAATATAAAATATTTAATAATTAATATAATAACCTAGAAAAATATTAAAAATGTAAATATAAATATTAAAAATCCAGCAATAAGTTACATAACTTTCCTAGCAAAAAATTTTTAAAATGTGGTGGTGCCATCTGTTATGACATCTTATTTAAAAAACATTTTAAATTATTTATTATTATAAAATGACAAAAAGCTTAATTTTCAGGCTAGAGATGAGTTTTATAAAAAAAATTGTAAATG